GAATGAGCCAAAAATTGGATTAACCGAAAATGAGATATTTATGTGGGCTGGGTTGTGCCAGTTGCGATCCCTGGACACAACACCAAAACGAGCAAGGGCGAATTCGCGTCACGGCGAATTGCAACCACGAGAGCAAACGCAAAGAGAAAACGAAGGAGAGCGAGATGAGAGCGAGAGCGAGAGCGGACAGCCGATCGGCGGCGAGAAAGCGCCTTAAAAGGTTGTGTGCGAGACCAGACGACGAACGACGAACGACGAACGACGCAGAAATCTAATTCTTGTACCGTTATACCACATTCAATCACTTACAAACCTTTACTTATAAACAATAAACATAAACCCACACATTTATTGTATCAAGAGATCGTAGAACAATCCCCGAGTAGCTGCTGCACTGATGAATGCCCAGCGTTGCCAGTTAACCTTTGCCCCGCGCAGAAGATGCCAAAAAAGAAAGCTCTCACACACATGACAGCCAAGTGCCCGGGCCCCGGCTTCGATTAATAGCTTTGGGGAAAAGTTCGGTGCTGGAAACACGGCTTTTGTTTTAGCAGTTTAGCCCTAGACAATATATTTTCAAGCTAAAAGCTTTTACCCCAACCATGGACATACATTTATGCATGTACACTGTGAGCCAAGACATTTTATACTTTCACTGAACTGGTAGAGAGAACAAGCTCGGCTCGATTGGCAGGGGTTTGATGAGGAAATTGCCATTGCAAAGAGTTCTTAGCAGTTTTTGGATTAGTTGTCAAATATTCGAAACAAAAAGCACCTTTTGCCCTTTGTTTCAGGCATGCCTTTCCTGCAGAAATTTTGCTTTGGTGTGCCGCTGCGTTGCATGTGCTTTTTGCTGGGTTACGCCCTGCTGGCACAGCCCTGTTTGAACTTCGTGTGGCTGATAATGCAGCGCGAGTATCTCTGCGCTCGCCTCACAACACTCTGGATCTTTGCTGATCTGTTCAATGTGCTCTCCAGTTTTCTGCTGCTCGGCGGACTTTATATGGTAAGAGGACAGACAACACACACCCCAGTGAGATAATCTAATATTTGCTGCACAGAACAGCATCAGCATTTTGCCCCTACACATCGTGTCCAAGCTAATTGGTTTGATTGTGGAAATGATTTGCCACTTGCTAATCGCCGCCGTGGAAATGGGTGATCGCTTGTCGATAACCACATCCGTTTTCTCCATCGGATGTAAGTTTTTCGAGGAGTGATGGATCTGCCTACTGTTACTGTTTGATCTCTCGCCCACAGGCACCTGCCTGGACGTGCTGGTGGTGCTCAGATTCTACCAGCAGGAGGAGTAAGAGGACTAGCCCATGTCCCGGTTACCCACTGAACCAGCAACGGAGCTTTGACCAGACCTAATCGCAGCGTGTAGCATTTTGTGGTGCGATTAAACGCAGATTTATTGGCACAACTGTTGCTCAATCTCCACGTGGCTGCGCGGGCATAAATCGTGTGCAATTGTCACCAGATTTGGCCGCAGCACGTTTAATTATCGCCACAGCATAGCCCCGGCGAGTTACATGCGTGCTAATTGACTGAGCCCCAAGAAAGCAGCACAGTCCCCCCCCCCACAGTCTGCATAAGTCCCATTCCCATTCCCATTCCCAATCGGAGTCGCACTCCAAGTTGCCAAGTGTCCGGGCCAGTTGATAGCCGCCACGATGAAAACGCATGCTGAGCCCAATGAAAATAATGTTGCAATGACTGGAGGAGAGCGGTGCCCGCTGGCTGGCTGGTCACTGAACCACTGATCCACTCCAGCGCAGGCCTTAATTAATTCCGTTGATTAATTGAAAGTGCGCTCCGGCCTGCGCTCTGGATTTATTTTGGGCACTTACTTTCGGCAGTGCAAAGTTGAAGGCAAAATGCTCGTCTTACCCTCGGATTCGGTAGTATGTTATGGGCGTTGCCCTGGGCCAACCCTTGGCCATTACTCTTTGCTGAAGCTGCAGTCCTTTTGCCAAAAGGCTCTCGATTATGGCTAAAGTTATGATCAGCGTGGAACTATAATCCCAACTGGGTATTGCAGAATTTAACTCAGTTTTGGGTCAAGCAATTCGCAATGGAAATGTACTCACAAATGCTTTGAGCTTGCTGCGAAAAAGCGTTGACCTTGGCCACATTTCTAGGCCTCGCTGGGCTCTCGGTGCAACAAAGTTTCCCGATTTCATAAAATATTACGATAACTCGACAACATTTATAAGCAAGAATAATTGTTTTATATTTTATGGCTTATGGCCGCAAAGCGACATTAAATGCTGCTGCTTAAGGAAACAAAATGCAGTCGCATCGAAAAAAGCGAAACAAAACGCAGCAAAAGCAAGAGAAAAATGAATTGTCTTCATTTTGTAATTTAATGATATTTTATTGAATTTGTGATGGGCTGGGACAAGGCGGATTTGTCCGGGCGCTCCATCCTTGGCTGCTGCTGCCTCGATGGGATCTCGATGGTACGTTTCGTTCCTGTTGACATTTAAAATATGGCCGCATGTCAATGCGACTGCCCTACGCCCATTTTTAAGTCAGGTTAAGGTTTCGATTTCGATTACGATTGCGATTTCGAGCTGCAATTGAGCCCCGAAATATCCCAGAGTGAATTCAATTTGAAGGTCTGTGCACGGGCCGAAAAATGTGCTTTCACTTGACCCGCAATGCTGCGTAAATAAATTTTATCGCACCGTTGACACGTGCGCGTAATATTTCATTAAGTTTAAGCCAAGCCAAGCCAAGCCAAGCCAAAAGGAGCTCCAAAAAGCAGCGCAAAAGTAAAATAAATATAATTGCAGTGCGGTCAAAACGGCAGCATAAACCAATCTGCGATTGCATCGTAACTTCGTTTGCAATTTGGCAAGTTTGACACTTGGCCAGTTAGTGACGGCGCGGCTTGGTGACTCTCGCTCTCGCTCTCGCTCTCGCTCTTGCCATGTGCCACCGGCTGCCTGCTTTGAAATGTGTCCCAGAGTGCCACCTACGTTGGCTCAGAGTGTAGGCCCAAGGGGGTCTACCTGTCGCGGCTCGGCTCCTGCCGCCTGCCATTCACTTGCCGGCAGTGCGTGACTCTTTGGGTCTGCTGCTGCCCTCTGATTGTGGGAGAAATCACGATCAATCATGCACAAAGTGTATATAATAAATAAATATTGAAATTATTCGGACTATTTTTAATCAAGCGTTCAAATTTCACTCTTTTCGGGCAGCCTGAAGCACAGCTCCTAAGCCACGCCAAAAACTTGTCTTTGTGTTATTCGATTTACTGAAGTTTAGAGCCCATTCCGAATGATCTGGCAGTGCTGCTACGCTCACAAAATAATGTCCAATGCTTACAAACTTAGTGCTGTAACCTGAGGCACGTTAAAGAAAAAGGAAAGAAAAACACAACCCGACTTAACCTTGACTCGGCGAACGCCCACAAGGATGGCAGAAATCCCAAGAGTGATATACGCCTTATTGTGCATAATTTTTAAAGCTGCAAAGAACGCCATAAACATGTGGCCATTACGCTGAACGCTTCAACTAATGGCCCGCGTGGCACCACCAGCACCACCAGCACCAACAGCACCACAGTTCCAATGAGATCGTAAACTCATCCGCCGTCTTAGGCGAAGGTGCAAGTGCCGCTCCCGACGGTCATTAGGAGCGAAGGCAACACACGCATCCAGCGGAGCCGGGCCGTGGTCGGGTCATTTGAGTAAGCTGGCGGACGGGGCGTCACTTAAGCCGATACTAATTTCCATAATGTACGCCTTGACGGAGACGAACAGGTTCCCTCTGCAAATAGATGGACAAAATAATGGACGCAGTAATCTAGGAAGTAGGAAGGCCATTGGAGATGGCCGCGTGACACGCGGGAAGCATCGTTTGTGGCAGTTGGAGCTTAATGCAAAAATATCTGACATCCAATTAAAGATCCGCGCATAAGCAGCGCTGGTTAACACCTATTGGTCCCATGCTCGCTGGCCTAGACCTTGGCCAGGAACCCCAAATGACTGGCAATGGCAATTTAACGGCTCAGCAATTGCCTGACCCATCGATGGGGCCTGCAGTTGGCGGCTTTGCCAGTGTCTCTGGCAACATGAGTATGATTTATTGTGGGGCCGAAGCTACGACTTCGGAGCCACAGCAGCTTCTGCCTTCAGTTCGTGATGACTTGGATTCCCGTTTGTCCGTTCGTTAGCTGCACACAGAGCGGACACAGCGGACACAGCGGACAGAGCGGACAGAGCAGAGCCTTGGTCTGTGGCTCTCTGCCTGCTTTATGTGTATCATTTTTCTTGGCCTGCGGCTGGCTCTGAGATTTTACATTATTGTATTTTCATATTGTTTGTGGTTAATTTGCTTCCCCCAGACGGGACCTACACCTGATTTTCCGACTGTTGTGACTGTCATAGAGCGGTGTTCAGTTCGGCTCTCGGGGCAGGCTCCTCTACCCTGGACAAGTTCGTTAATTTGACGCTCGCATAAATTTTCGCCAGTGCAGGCAAATGACTCAACCTGGGGACGTGGTGGGCAGGTCCTCTTGGGCTCTTAGGCTATTAGCGCACAAAGCCAACGCCTTGCCGGACACCTCCGCTGCGGCGTTTCTTTTGTCAATTTCCAGACATTTGCCTCTAAGTGCAGCAACTGGCAAAAGAGGAGATTTATGTTACTCTGGTGTCACTTTAAGTTAATGGGCTATACTCCCTGACCAGTTTTTGCACTCGCAGATGGACCCGCGAAGCGCTCTTCGACTCCAGCTGCAGGTGGATTTGGCTGTGGCAAATTTATGGCTCTGGCTTTTAAATTGGTTTATGGCAATTTCCTCAGCACCCACACAGCGACAGGCATCCTCCTGCAGCACATGTTCATTTATTATCAAACAATTTCAAAGTCAATTTCCACCAGGGCTGGCAAATCAGCAGCCCGAACCTCTTGCTCCTGCCAGTGTTGCAAAGTGTGCCGTTTGCTGGGCTTTTGCGTTTGTGACACTGAACTGTCAGTGCGAGAATTTGCTGCTGTGAATTATAGTTTTTTATCTGGGAAAACATACGTTTTCTGTTCGCTGCTCGTCATCGAAATTTTCTCAGTCATTTGGCAATCCGCAAAACGTTTTCTCTATCGCCCACCATGAACAACCGTCACAATGCCCGGGCCATTCGTGCCGCAGCCGCCGCCGCCGGTGTGCCATCAAATGAGGAACTGAAAACGAAGTCGCTGCCGAAGCTGGTGCACTCCGAAGCGAGTGTGAAGGGTTCCGTTCTCTATGTGGATGTGGTGAAGAATATGCCCCTGGGCAAGCATGCAACGGCCGAGCAACCGCCGGAAGACTCGCCACCAGAGTTCAGCTTTTTCCGCGAGGACTTTCCGGCACTGCCGGGCGGGCGGCGCGCATCGGCCTCCTCTGTGCCCGACGACTGGACGAGCATGATCAGCGACGACGAGGAGCTCGTAGTAAACATTCCGCAGACCCCGAACATAGCCTCGTCCCCCACTGAGAAGACCTCTGAGGACGATTTGGTGGCAGATGAACCCAAATCCGTGTACAGTCTGATTTCTTCAGCAGAGGAAGCGTCTTTGGCCAGCGAGCCAGAGGCTGAACCCAATAATTGCGAGCTCAAGGAGGAGTCGCCCAAGGCAGCTCTAGAGGAGCGTGACTCCAGCAGCCCCCTCAGCTCCTCCTTCGAACTCAATGGATATTCCTCCGACTACTTCCCCGTAAGCGCCAGCCGTGTGCCCGAACCCGTAGCGTCGGAGCTGCTCTGTGAAGTCAGCGTCATATTTTCCAAACAGTTCATGCAGGAGGGAGTGCGACAACGCGCCATGAAAGGTTCCCATCGTCAGCTGGCTCCAGCTGCCCCAGGCGGTGGCGAGGGGACCAAGATACGCGTCTCCCTCAAGACACACACCACGGGCTTTCCCGTGGGCGGTGTGAACTTTGAACGCGAGCTGCCAGCCAGAAACTCTGCGCCCCATGGAGCCGGTATGGCCGGAGTCTACGGCCTGTTGGGACTGGCTGGAAGGCTGGGCGTAGCCCAAGACGATCCCGATATTATACCCATGATCTATGGCGAAGACGATCTAATGAGCATGGGGAATCACTTCCCTGACGCCAGCGCCCGCAACCTGTACTCAGCCTTTGCTGGGCCATTCCAGGGCTTTTACTGTGGCCTCAATGACGGCAGCTTCAATGTGCCACCGACACGTCAAATGGCCAGCCGACTCGGCCTGGATCAGCCCAAAATGTCGCAGATGCAGGAGGAGCTGCTGTTCTTCTACTTCTACAACTGCCCCGGCGACATGCTGCAGATGCTGTCGGCCGCCGAGCTGGCCGATCGCAATTGGCGCTACCACATGTCCGAGTGCCTGTGGCTACGTCGGCAGGCGGATAATCCCAACTACGTTTACCTCGGCTTCCAGGAGTCCGGCGAGTACAATTTCTTCAACAAGTTGCAATGGGTGATTCAGCGTCGCTACTTTTACCTGGATCCCGACCAAATAGAGCGCACGCTCTCCAAGGAGGAATTGTTCGAGAAATACGGCTACCATCCACAGATGTAGGCCCACCCACAGATGACACTTCCGCGCTGGGCAACACACACTCAAACTACACTCCGCAGGCAGCACCACACACCTACACAAATCTTTGCTGGAACTTAGATACTTGTCAACTTATCTGCGATATTTACACACAAAACACACACAATTATTTGGCACCCTTTACCTGTACTTGCAAAAGGGTAATATGTTAGAAATAAATATAAACGTAACACCTAGAGTAGCTCTAACTTTAAACTCACCTTGTGGCCTGCCTTTGGCTGCCAGTTTGGTCCAAAAGCTGGCCGCCACACCCTCGACCTGGCTCGGACAAGCCTCGTTGCTGGCAAAGATAGATAGGGAAACGATAGGGGCACAAAACTCGTAGCGCTCATTAGCAAAGCCGGCCACACGATCTCTTTGGCCAAGTGTCGCCATCAGTGGCTGTCGTCGTTTAGCCCGCTAATTGCCACGTAAATTTGCAACCATTTTTGGCAGCTCATTAAATTTATTATTAAAACAAAGCTAGAGTAAACTTAATTGCCATCAAATTGACATGCGAAACGGAGACGGAGACGGATGACAGCACCCGCCGCAGAGCAGGAGCTGGAGCTGGAGCTGGATGTGGAGCGCGGCTCATGCGTATTAATTGCCAGAGTAACTTCATAATTTCATGTGGAAAAATGTGAACGTTGGGCGTGCGCAGCAGCTACTCCAGTCCCAGTCACAAATACAATGTGTAAGACTTAGGCGGAGCAGATTGGAGTGGAGCCAGGTTTTGGGATCTGTCCGTCCACTTGGCGGCTTATTTATGGCACGGCGAAGTTTGATTGAAATGTGTTGTCTATGAAATTGACAACTTGGGTGAGATTTGCACGGCACACGAGTCCGAGTACGAGTACAGCTGTGGCCTGTGGATGTTGAAGCCAATTAAGCGTGAATCATGCTCGCAGTGTTGTGCAACGTCCAAGAGCTCTGATTAATAAGCCGCCCGCACATGCCTGGAGCATGGACTTAACCCCGGCACACGCATGCACACCGGCAATTACCGTTACCAATGCAAAATGCACCAGAGAGAGTGAGAGAGAGAGAGAGAGAGAGAGAGAGACAGGTACCGGTAGGGTGTCAACACGATCGTAACTTGCAATCAACTTAAGATGACAGTGAAAATGAAGCATTGACGCCTCGCACGTACCACGAAGAAGGCTGGAAGGCTGGAAGGCTGGAAGGCCCATGGAAAGTCCACATCCCAGGAGCCAGTGGCAATCAGGTTTTGTGCCGCCTCGAGTGGGCACCAAATTAGACACATTTTATTATTCAAATCCACTTGTGTTGAAATAAACACACGACTTTCTGTGTCGCACATAATGAAAATATATGGCAGCCAGGCACCTCGCTGGGAAAGATGCCATCAGAGTACTTGCTGTAAGTAAAGTAACCCAAACTTCTAGTGTCTGTCGTTGCCATAACTAACTAATCGCTGTTCCACTTACGAGTGGTGCATCCCAGCCACCAATTTGTGTTTGACTTGGCAACAGCATCGCGAGAGCTGCATCAACGGAGATCAATGAACGATGTGATCAAGGATTTTGTCATCAGTTCGCTCCCATTCAAGTCACGTCTCCGTCTTTATGCATATATCAGCCCCAGCCTCAGCCTCAGCATCAGCTTCAGCCTCAGCTTCAGTTCCCTGCCCCGCCCGAAAGAGCTGCGCGATGCTAATTGCGGGAGCCAGAAGAAGCTCTTCCTTTTGCTGGACAAATTTGTAATGTTAATTACTCTCGAGAGTCGAGAGAACTTTCGAGATTTGCATGCGAAGATCGAGTCAGGTATATTTCGGCTTCTGCTGGTATTTATTTATTATTTTATTCCTCTTCGCTGGGTTCCTGCGCTCGCTGGAGCTCCCAGAGCTGGCGCGGTTCGTTGTCTCATTCATCGGCGTCGTCTGAGTGTCTGGGGACGACGATGGGCATTATGCCATAGCCCTGGAAGATGGTTCGCCAGAAGGCAGCCAGAAGACAGGCAGAGTTCAAAGACACAACGGTACATTCAACCTGGAGCAGAGGAGCGACAAGGCCACGACAACGAGTGTCTCCACTCTCCACGCTCCACACCCACGTGTGTCCAGCCCGAGAGTCGTTGACCATTCGAGTTGATTGAACTGGAAACCAGCGAAATATCACAATAAGAACTGTTCTTGCTGTTGCCTGCCTGCCTGCCTGCCCCAACAAACGGCAAATTGCAGCCTCCAAGGAGAGCGGCAGAGGGGAGCGAGAACTATGAGCTCGATTTGCAATTCAGCAGTAGAACAATGGCTCAAGCATCCGCATCGGCATCGACATCGGCAGCGTTGATCGTCTTCCCGTAACAATTTCCCTTCTGCTTTATGCAGCATGCACGGGGCATTAACGGATTCCTGCCCCGACATCTCCGACATCTGGCCGGTGGGCACTGAACTGCCGCTGCTTGGCGAGAAAAGCGAGCAACACAAATGTAGGTGGCATGCATTTTAATATAGTGAAAGTGCAAGAACCACAAAACAGCCGTTCATTGTGCCACAATGCAGTCGTAGCTCGATCTCGATCTCGATCTCGATGCATTTCAGCTCTTTCCACATTTCATTCTGTTGTCTGTATGTTGTATCTGCATGCCAAGTACATTGTCTGTCTGTATATCTTGTATCTGGCTCGCTCTTATCTAAGCATTTAACATATTTCGGTTTTCTGCACACACGAAATTTGTCAAAACAAAATTCGAATTGAATTTGTCAAGGCATACGCCGGGCGATACCGTACCCCTCCATATTATGTAACTTTAATTAGCATAAATGTGATTGATCCCCCCAGGCGCAGCAAGTTTTCTTGGGATTATTTGATTTTTATTGATCTTTTGCTCGAATGAAATGCAAAAAAATGCAATTGCACTTTTGCCGTTTTTTTGTTCGCTGTCTGACTTTTTGTTGTTATGAATGCTGAATGGGTCTAAGACTTCACCTAGCATCAGTCTAAGCACTGGAGACCAAATGGCTACCCTACCAGCCATTTGGAAGTCAATTCAAAGAGCAAAGAATTAGTTGAAGCATTCTTTGAACATGTACATTTCTTGTACCATTATTCATGGTTAATTTAAATAATTTTCCATCAATCTATCTATCTCCGCTCGATGTCCACAATGCTCAACAAAACTCCTTCTCGCACACATCTCCACATTTCCATAGCATGCACATATTTAATAGCCTTCTGCATATGATATGAGAAAATATGCAGACCCAAAATCTTACAAGTCTGCGACGCAGGTGAAATTTGCATGGTTATACTTCTGCGAGTCGAACAACAAACAGTAGCTAAATATTTTTCATTTTGAATGAGGTCAAAGCGCAAACTGGCTGCCTAGAAATGAGGCAAAATAGTCCCCGTTTGCCATTTTATGCTAAATGAAGAATAAATTTAATAGCGCTTCAAAGTTTGATCTTTGATCTGATTTAAGTCTCTCGAAGGAATCTCTCCGGAACTGTTAATTTCAGAATTCTTCCTACCACATTGAGCCCTTTTTCTGTGCCTCATAATAACACGCACGCACGCGCCCTGCAGTCCTGCAGTCCTGGGCGCCAGTTGGCTACCCTCTTCTACCCCTCTGGGGTAGACTGCCCGGTGCGCCCCGCTTAACATGCTGCATTCGTGTGCGCTGCTCATTGATCGAAATTGAATTGGACATAAATAAAACAAGATCAATCAATTGATTTATTTTGACATGTTGCAAGAGCGCGGTGCTCGGTTCAGCTCCAACTACAACTTCGCCAGCGACTGGCACTGCAGCTTCAACTTCAGGCTGGTGGCCGGTTTCGGTTAGCTGTCCCATTGGCCTCCTACTCCTTCGGAGCGCAGTGGGTCTCATTTGCTTTGTCGCTGGGGAGATTTGTTTCGTCTCCGTCTGTCCCACTGTCCCCCTGTCCCGCTGTCCCGCTGTCCCGCTGTCCCGCTGCTTGCATTTGCAACTTTTGGCATTGTTGTGGCAGCTTTGGTGCTGTGTCTGGGCTTGATTTTATTGCTTGTTCTGCCTCCGTTTTCGGTCTCGTTTGGTTAATTTGTCGCTCCATGGCGGGGACTTTTTGCCTGCTTGCCTGATTAATTTTTATATGCACCGCTGCTGAGCGTGTCCCCCGAGCTGGCATTGGATTCTAATGAGGATTTTGCTGAGGCCGTAACAGGTTTCCACTAGATTTTCTGATGCATTGCGAAGATTCGAATCACGCACAACACTCAAGGGGGCAGTGGGATGATTGCTTACAAAATACTCGAAACAATCACTTGTACCATGGAGGAGTAACTGATTTTTCCCCCGAGCTGGCATTGAAATGAGATGAGAATTATTTGATGAGGCCATGGCAGGTTCGTTGTTTCAATAATTTCAGAAACGAAATTCGAATTTACATTGCAAAATTAATTTAAATACATTTATAGTTATTGTGCCTACGAAACTTGATCCACTGCTTGCACTGCTTAGGCACTGCTTAAAGGCTCAAATCCCGTTATCCCTGTGATCCATGCATAATGCATGGCATATTTACAGTTGGCGAAAGAGAAGCAAAACCCAGCGACGACGACCTTAATTGCCTCGCATGTTCTGCCACCCACATGCCCGTTCCGTTCCGTTTCGTTCCGTTCCGTCCCGTTCCGTCTTGAGTGAGCGACTGGGAGATTGAAAATAGTTTTCTCCAATCCCAATTCCAATGCGAAGCCCGGGCCCAACCTCTGTGCAGCCAATTGAAAGTGCGCCGCATCGAGCCGTGGATCGGTTGAGATTAATTGTCAGCTTTCCATGGCTAGAGATACTCGCATGTGTTTGTGTGCCTTTGTGCAACTGTTTAGGCATTTCCCCATTTCCCATCACGTGTCACAATTAAGTGCGGCAAAGTGCCGCGCGAAGTGCATTGCTGTGGGAAGGTGAAGGGCTGCCTGCCTGTCTGACGATCCTGCCAGCACTTCCACGGGAGTACTTCCGTCGCGTAGCGAGAGAGATGGGAAACTGATTTACAGAACCGAATGGGATGCCATGCCGGAGAAAGTGCATTCATTTTGGGTTTCTCTTCTCGAACAAAAAATGAAAATGATAAATTAGCTTAGAAAAGTCACGAGTGCCAGGGCGTGAGTGCCAGAGCATCGTATCGGAATCACCACATGCTCCCAGCTCCAAAGAGTGGGTTATGCGTGTCCGTGTGTGTGTGGGGACTTGATTAATGCA